CCCTCCTCCCCCACCAGCCTGACCTCCTGTTTCCCGCGTGTCAGCTCCTCCATCTGCTGCTGCAGCTCCTGTATCTCCAGCTCCATGCGCTTCTTGGCCTTGACCGCCGCCGCGGATGCGAACTCGGCGTCATCCAGCTGGTTGCGCAGCGCGGAGATCTGGGCGCGCGCCCCCTCCAGGTCCTTCTGCTTGAGCAGGGCAGCCCCGGCGTCGTTGAGGAGAGCTTTGGTCTTCCGCAGGTTACGACGAAGACGTTTTTCAGACTCTGTGGACATGGAGGGTTTGTTGTTTTAAGTTTTAGTAACTGTGTTATGGCACTCGCTATGCAATAAAGTCATATAGGTGTCGAAGAATTAAAGGTGTTACTAGAAAATAACAAACTTTGTTTTAGAAAGAGATTTACTGCACTTGCAACACAATAAGTTCATATGAGTGCCGAAGAGTAAAATTGGACTAAGAGAGTAGCAAACACAAAAAATAAAGAGGTACAAAAGAGTAACAAACTTAGTTTAAGTAAGAATTTTACAGTACTTATAACTTGTAACACAATAAAGTCATGTTATGTTATGTCATGTTCGAGAAAAGAGAAGCACATCGACACAATAACGGTCATTTAGTACTGTGAAACAGACAGATGAGACAGACAGAAATAACAGAGCGGAAGAAAAGAAGCATGAATCATCCCTTCAATCAGCCGAACAATTAGGTCATATAAGTGCCAAAGATTATAGAGGTGTCACAAGAGAGTAACAAACACAAAAAAGTAGTAGGAGGGGAGATAAAGAAGATAGATGTTTGATAAGAAAGAGAGAGCAAACCACACTACCAGAGCACCCGCCAACCACCCATGACTTGTGCTATCAATAGTACAAGTCCCATGTTTTGTTACCTCTGTCCCTTTGAGGCTCCCGGGCCCCGGACTCCTGCAGCTGTCTCTCCAGCTGAGCTTTCTCCTCGTGCAGTCGCTTCTTCTGCTCGTACTCCTCCTCCAGCTGACTCTCCATCTGACGCAACTGTCGTGGGATAAGAAAACACAGTGAGGACATGGTCATTATCATGAAAAGATGGGAGTTTTTGGACCACGTGACTGTTAAGGGATAAAAAGAATAGATTTGAAAACATGAAGAGAGGGAGTCGTGGACGAAATAAATAAATAGAAACTCTGCCTTTGGACAAAGAGCAATGTATCTGAACAATATTTCATGATTTTGAGAAATATGTGAACAACTTTTGAAGTTCAAAAACTTTGTTGTCTAAAGTAATGAATGTTTCTAAACATGGTTGTGTGGAAATGTAGATCTGTCACTCTGCCATTGACAGTGAGATCGAGATCAGTCCCTTAGGTAGCTTTACCACTTCGAAAACTACTATTTCAGAAGTAGATATTATGTCATCTTTATTACTAATATCAATACTAATATTATTAACATTATCATTAGGCCTACTATTACTATATGATTACTATCATTCTTAACACCATTATCATTACTATATTATTACTATCATTCTTAATATCATTATCATTACTATTATTACTATCATTCTTAACATCATTATCATGACTATATATTATTACTTATCATTCCGATATAATTACTATAATTCTTATCAAAATTATCATTATTATATTATTACTATCATTCTTAATACCATTATCTTCATTATTATTATCATCACTATCAATATCATGATTTGTCCCCAGGTGTTGTCCCCTCCCGGCTCACCTTCTTCTGCGTCTTGTACCTCATCTCCTCCATCTCCTCGTCCTTCTCCTCCAGATCCTTCACGTGCTGCTGCTTGCTCTTTTCCAGGTTCATCTCCAGTCGGAGCTTGGCCTGTACACACACACACATACTTGTGTTTTACAGCATTTGCAACACAATTAGGTCATACAAGTGCGGAAGATAGAGTGTTGCAAGTTTAGTTGTAGTAAGATTTTTTACAGTTAGGTTATTTAAGTGTTGATGATTAGAGGTGTTACAAGAGAGTAACAAATTTTGTTTTTGTAAAAGTTTCACTGCACTTGCAAAACAATAAGGTCAAATGAAAGCCGAAGTTTAGAAGTCTTGAAAGAGAGTAAAAAATGCCTCAAGAAAGGAGGAGAGACATGGACAATAGAAGTTAGATAGGAAAGAAGGAGTGAACCACACCGGAGCACCCACCAGCCGCCCACAACACTACCAAAGTACACAAACATGCATGCATGAACAAACACACCCACACATAGACAGACAAAGAAAAAGAAATTTTTAATAATAATATGAGTGTGACGTATGAATAAAAATCATATTACAATTTTCTTGAGCACATTGGATTTGATCCAAAGTCCTTTGTTATCACATGTAAGAAACTGATTTTATTGTATATACAGAGAAGATCTAGAGCTCTTGAATTCAAGAAGACATTGGCAATATAGGAAGGAAGCACGTAGGGGGTGGGGGTGCGGAAGAACTGAGCTAAATGCACGAAAACATTTTAAGCTACAGGATCTTGGCAGTTTTGAGGTGGGGAACGACAAAATAGAACAGCTCTAAATGCAGGAACACAATCTCCTACAGCGATGCCATTTCATGGAAAGTGATTGAAAAGAGATCCACGAAAATCATACCAGATAAAACGCTCTCAATAACACGTAATGCACTGTGTTTTATGAGCGGGTGGAAACACACTTGCTCTCGAGAATCTCTTTAACAGCGGCCAAAGAAAAAGTTTAACGGCAAACAGCTTACTCGTTTCAAAAACATAAACTGCAAATCCCAAATAATAACCCAGCACCACGAAAAAACTTCTCAGGCTGTGAGCGTGTCAATGCAAGGATAAAATAAATAAATACATGTATACACGAAAATTGATCTGTCAGATATGTCTGGAATTTGGAAAGAAATGCTGCTAAATCCTCTCTTTATAGGCTAGAACAA